CCTCCTGAGCCCTGGGGTCTCCTGCTAGAGCAGGGCCTGGCTGTGGGGTGGGGTCCCCCCCAGACCAGGTCTCCCTCCCCTCTTCCCATCTCACCGAGGCAGAGCAGGGCCGTGAGGGTGGGGGTCATGGCGTCTCCTCCTACTGGCCCTGGCCGTGCCGATGGATGAGACCGCGGTGTCTGCAGGACAGAGAGACACACAAGGTGTGGCCACTCGGAGGCTGGGTCCTTCCCCTCATGGGGTTGTCCCATCAGCAGCCCCACAGGAAGGGGAACTGCCCTCCCCACAAGCCTGGTTCTCATTTCCCCGGGGCTGGGGCTGGGGCAGGCACCAGGCCCTCTGCAGACATTTCAGACAGAACTGGGGTCTCCTTGACCCCCAGCACCATCTGCCTCATCTGTCCTCATCTCACTGAAGTTCAGAACGTAGAAGGAAACAGATCCAGAGCCTTCCATGTTGGCCCCTCCCAGGTGAGGGTGATGAGGGCCCCTCGTCCCTCTGGGAGCCTCCCCACGGGGCCTCCTTCCCCCCTCAGCCCGTCCTTCAGCCCAGCGCTGCGGGTCCTCCCCACGGCAGTTGTCTCCTCACCCTGGGGACGCTCCAGGGAAGCTGCAGGTTCGAGCCCACGGCGGACTCAGACCAGCAGAGACACACGAGCGTCTGACGGCGCAGTTCTCGTTGAGCTGCCTTGTGGCCGTGAGCACAAAGGGGACATATGAGGCAATATGGTTAGAAAAATGACACCTCTATTGGCCATGGACTGTGGGTTTTCATTGTACCAAACATTCCCCCTCTTGGGCTTCCGCTCCCCTTTTGCTATTTTTAGCAGCAGCGTCACCTGCGCCTCCCTGGGAACCAACCTCTCAGCCACTGCTGCCCCCTCAGCCCCTGGTTTCCTCGGGCGTCACGCTGCACCTCAACCTCTGGTCAGGGTTTTGGGAACAATTACTGATGTTTGAGCTTGGATATGGGGCATTGGGTGGGGAGTTGATTTTTATTTAATTCCTGATGATCACCCACTGCCTGCATGAGCTGGCCAGTAAATTCCCATCTCTGAGCCTCACTTTCCTCATTTGGAGCTGTGGTCAGGAACCCCATCCTCACAGTGGATGTGGGGTCAGTGGTGCCTGGAGGATGGGAGGGCCCGATCCTGGTTAATTCCAGATCAGGCTAAGAGACGAGGGGTGGGGACATGAGGGGATCCTGGTGTTGAGATGCAGAGTCTAAGTGGATGATCGATGCCCCAACTCCTCCCAACGCTGAGGAATGCAGGTACAGCGTGTCTGAAATATGCAGATCCTCAAAATCATGAGCAGAAAAAGAGATATGAAGATTCCCTAAATGGAGTCAAATCCACATCAAAAAACAGAGGGCAAAGCCCTGTGGCCGCAGGTCCCATCGAGGGGTCATCAGGGTGGCGGATCCCACTGCTGTGTGGACACAGGGAGGGAGCCCAGGGTC